TCTGGGGGTCACTGGGACCAGGGCTTAGGATGCCCATCTCTGGAGGCACCCCCTTGGGCCAGCTTCCGGGGGCCTCTTTAAGGACCAGTGGGAAGAACCCCACCTCCACCCCCTTACCTCTTCCACTCCCTGCACCAGAACCCTCTACTCACCTCCAGAGGCCTCGTCAGCCAGCAAGTCCTCGTCGTCAGAGAGGTCTGAGTACCTCCAGCCAGCCCGGCCCGCTGTGACTGTCTCGGCATCTTCGGGCAGAGACAAGCCATCATACGCTTGCAGCCCGTGGACCACCTGTGGAAGATCACACAGCCAAAGGTCACCTTCTCTAGCCCCCGCCAAGCCCAGGACCCCCACCCCTCACTTCAAGGGGGACCCAGAGTGCCCCCCCACAAAGCCCTGGAGTGCTTAAGTCAGACGTGGTTTGGCTAAGAGAGTCAGGCTGGGGCTGAACTGCTATTTTTGACTCTGTTTCCCCAAAGCCCCATTTGCCCCGGGAGGCCTCAGAGCCCAACCCTGCAAATTCACTGAGTCTGAATGAACCCTCAAAGAACCAGACAGTAAAATTAAAATCACTTTGGTAAGTGACGACTGACTCGTTTTTCTTCGGGGAAGGCAAGGGTCATCCAGGACACGAGGTGGTAGACAGGGGGCCACGGGCAGGTAAAAGGTGACCTGGGCCAGCAAAGAAGGATGACCAGGGTCAGGATGGATAGGGGACAGAGACAGAAATCAAGGGTGAGTCCACCGAAGCTGCTATCTCTAATGACAGCTTCCCACCAGGCCATCTTGGCCCCCTCTTTCGGCCTCAGTCCTTGGCCTCCAAAGCTCCAAGCCACAGGAAACACATTCCAGCCATGTTGGACAACTCGCTCCGGCGCTCGTGGCCACACTGACAAGCTCATCTGTGCACCCAGCCGCGGGGGTGGGGCCCAGCAGCTGGACAGGCGTGGTGTCAACTCTGTGTGACCTCAGGCTGATGCTGAGCCTAGCACAAGTTCTACTCCAGGCTCCTGTGCCACAGAGGGCCTGCTGAGACCCCGCGCCCCACAGGCCAGAGCAGAGGGGCCCCCAGCGGCCCTCACACCTGCCTTTCTCAGGTCGGGGTAGGGGCAGTGAACACCTCTTGCCCCTCAGACAAGATCAAGATGTTTCCAAAGGAGTTTTATCAGATAACGTGGAGGAAAACACAAGCCCGGGGGAGCCCAAGAGAACCCCAGAGCCCCCAAGCACCAGCGTGCATGGATGTGCCATGGCCCCGTAATGCACATCCAGTCCCAGATAACCTGGCGTGAGTGTCTCAGGCCCTGCCCTGGCCTTGGCCCTCCCTGGGGAGCCCAGCCCAGCCAGAAGGAAATGGTCTCACTTTTGAAAACCAGACCCAGCCCTCACTGGCTAGACAAGGTGATGGCAGCAGGAAAGAGGCCCAAGGAGGAGAAGAAAAACAATGAGTCTGCCAGTCTCTCTCCTTCCCTTCACCCGCCCTCCCCCCCCCCACGACTTCGCCCAGCCCACGTCCCTGCAGCCTCTGGCCTTTTCTCGCGCTAGTCCCTCCGCGGAATGCCCTTCCTCCCTTTGTTTATCTGGCTAACTAAGTCACCCTCCAAAATTCAGCTAACCGTCACCTCCTCTAACGGCTCAGTAAGAAAAAGGAAAGAATTATTGACATTCACAGCAACACGGCTGAAGCTCAATCACACGTGATGAGTGAAGGACACTGGACACAGAAGGCGACATACTGTGTGACCTCACTGAGATGCAACTCTAGGGGGGAAAGGTCTAACCTCAGTGACAGAAATGTCGCTAGTTGGCTGGGACCAGGGGTGGGGCATGCTGACTGGGCAGGGACACAAGGGAACCTTTTGGAGTGACAGTTCCCTGGCTATATACATCTCGTGATTGAACTGTACCCTTAAAATGGGTACATTTTTTTTTTTTTAAGATTTTATTTATTTATTTGTGAGAGAGACAATGAGAGACAGAGAGCATGAGAGGGAGGAGGGTCAGAGGGAGAAGCAGACTCCCTGCTGAGCAGGGAGCCCGATGCGGGACTCGATCCCAGGACTCCAGGATCATGACCTGAGCCGAAGGCAGTCGCTTAACCAACTGAGCCACCCAGGTGCCCCAAAATGGGTACATTTTATTGTATGTAATTTGCACCTCAAGAAAGATGACTAAAAAGAAAAGTCTCAAATAAAATAAGATGAAATAAAAATTAAAAAAGGAAAGACAATCTCCTTTGGGAGACTTTGTCCTGACACTTGGCCTTCACAGTCCTCTCTGTGCCCAGGCTGGATTCTGGGCGCTCCTGGGCTCACACTCTAATCACCTGTATCTCCACTCTCCACTGGAATGGCAGCATCCTGAAGGAAGGGACCCCATGTTCAATAACTACTTGAATGAATGAATGAATGAATGAATGAATGAATGAATGAATGGAGTGAATGGCAAAAATGTCATCACCTACTAATTCTAGCTGCTTGCTGAACCTGACTTGCTTTGGAGGTACCACCTGCCCCCAAGCGGTCTATATGCAATCTCCCTTCCTAGGCTGGCAGCAACTCGGGGACAAGGACTGGGTGCCATTTCATCACCTTTGTGTCTGCAGTGCTACCAAGCCTTGTGCAAGGTCTGCATTGCTCACGACTTACCCCCTGCCATGGCCTAAAGCCCCTTCCCCTCCAATGCAGGGGCAAACCCCTCCTCCTGTTCCTTTTCCTTCCCCACCCTCTCTCTGGACAAATGCCCATCCCTCTCCTAGGTGACCAGTGGACTTCTGGGCCATGCCCACAGGGTCTGTACCCAGGAATGAACTATAGAACCTTTAGGAGCTGGTGAGAAATAGATTCCGGGGCCCCTTCTCATCCAGGTGGGAGGAATGGAGTGGCGTGTATGCAGAGAACTCTAACTCACTGGCTAAGAACCACAAGATCAATCCCCATGAGGGGTTCTCCCTCCTTCCCTTGGCTGCAGGTAGAGGGCAATATTCCCACTGTGGGGGAGGGGGGCTTCAGAGCAGGCCCTGACTGGCCTAAGGGAAGTATGAGGCTAAGACTGGCATGGGGCACCGACACTGGGCAGAAGAGGTTAGAGTGGCAGGCCTGGATCCTTCCCACCTGGGGAGGGCTCTCCCTCTTTGTCATTGCCACACACACCCTCCATGCAAGCCAGGCCATGGGGGACATGCATGGGGCACAGAGATGCCCAGCATCCCCTAGACACTGCTGTCTGGAAAGGAAAACTCTGGTGGTGAGCAAGGTCCAGAGCTTCTCCCAGGCCTGGAGCTGGGGTGTGGGGGTGTGGGGGTGGGCGGTGTTGGGACCGGACAGGAAATAGCAAAGTGAGATTCGACTTGGAAAAAATGTCAGGAACACACATCTGCAGTGAGAGGAGTGAGAGAATCCAGGGTATGTTGGGCCCGGATCGAAGACCTCTCACCCCAGGGACTCCAGGGAATGGGCCCTTCCACATGCCAGCCTGCCCTTGCTTGCAGCCCCCACCCCAGGGCCCGAGGCTCTGGGGTCTGATCAGGGCCTGTAGTGAGCGCCAACCCTGCAAGAGCAGAGACTTCATTTGTGAAAAGCTGAAGATCAAAACGTTCTAGCACCTGTATTTCACATCTGGGAGGAGAGAAGAAGCCAGACCGGAAAGAGCCCAAAGGAGCCTGAGACTTGACCATAGAAGGGAACTTGGATTCAGATCTGGAAAGTCTGGGGTCTACTTGGGAACAGAAAGAGCTAACATTTATTGAGCACTTACTACACACCAGGCACTCCTTTAAGGATTTTTATAAATGTTAACCCAGGTTACAGGTGTTAAACAGCCCACTGTAGGGATGGGGACATGGAGCAGTCAGGTCATCTGCTTGAAGATCTAGCAGGTGGGCGAGAGCTGGGATTTGACCTCTGGTGGTTTGGTTCCAATGTTTAAGCTTTTGCCACTGAGCCGGAACTGACTGAGGTCACTGAGAGTCTCTCCACAAAACCTTTCAGCCACAGTGCTGTTTCACAGTCTACAGATCATTTCCTCAATCTCAGTGTCATTGGACCTTGACAATGACCCCTGAGGTGGCTGAGCAGGTGTGAAAGGCCCCCTTTCACAGAGGAGGGAGTAGCACCTTGCTTCCCCACGTAACTTGCCCAGGTGAGTGGCAGGCAGAGCCAGGACAGACCCAGGACCTCCGGGTTCTGCATCTGCTGACCAGGAAAGAGGCAGGGCTGAGGCTGGGCCTCCAGGCTGGCTTTGAGGCCTAAGCAGGGGGCAGGGCCAGGACAACCAGGGCTGGCCAGTTCCCATCCCCAACCCAACCGGCTCCCAGGATGGCCCACAGGTCGTCCTGGCCAGTTCCCATCCCCAACCCAACCGGCTCCCAGGGTGGCCCACAGGTCGTCCTGGCCAGGTCCCATCCCCAACCCAACCGGCTCCCAGGATGGCCCACAGGTCGTCCTGGCCAGGTCCCATCCCCAACCCAACCGGCTCCCAGGGTGGCCCACAGGACGCCTGAGCTGTCAGCCACCCAAGCCCATGCAATGTGTGCCTAACGTCCCAAGGAGGGCCATTGGTGGCTCCGAGGTCAAAGGCAGAAATAGAACCCAGGTTTCCTGCCCTGCAGCCCATCTCCGATGATGAGAAAGCCCAGCTTCCTCCCAGAGGAACCCAGTACTCAGGCAGGCAATGGAGCCGGATGGCGGGGCCGGAGAGGAGGGGTCCAGAAGGCAGCCCTGGGCCAGAGAGGAAGGAGCCAAACAGAGAGGGGGATTTTCCAGACCTGGCAGGTTCCTGGTGGGGGAAGTGGAAGCAGCTGACTCATACAAGCCAAGGCCAAAGGACTGTTCTAGTGTGCTGGGAACAATTGCTTGGAGCAGGGGTGTGGGCACGGGGGCCCCCCACCAGACAGGCGGGGGGCAGGGGGGGACCTAGACAGGAGGGACACCAGACAGGTGGGGAACTTCTGGGAGACAGCTCCGGGAGGCTGGGCTGTGTCCAGGCCTTCCTGGTGGGGATGAGGGTGCACATGAGTCTCCAGGTCCAAGTCCTACAAGACCCTTTGGGACAAGGGACAGAGGCTGGACCCTCCTCTCCTGGCCTGAGGATGTGGACAGAGCTAAGGCTAGATGGGAAGAACTCAGCATGGAGGAGAAAGGTGGAGCCATTAGAGAGGGGCACAGAAGGTAGAGAAGATCTGGGGTGAGGGGGGAGGTGCTGTTACAGATACAGGATATGGGGTCTGGGGTTTTTAAGAGTCCTTAAGTGAGGGTTGTGAGCCTTGCAAAGGGTACGTGTGCAGATAAGAGTTTCTGGTGCTGCTAAAATCAAGGGAGGTGGCGGCCCAGGGAGGAGATGACAGGAGCGGGCCAACTCCATCGAGGGCTCTCCCTGGCCGGGCCCCATCCTCAGCACCGCATGGACCACCTCGATGAATCCTCGCAGCAACCGGGGCAGGGCCAGCACTGCTGGGCATTATCCCTTGTGTGTAGTAAGGGAAATCCAAAGAGCTCTGAAAACTCAGAGCGTTTACTTTTTTAAAAATGAGTTTATAACAAGCTCGTTTGGTGCCAAGTCCTGACCTGAACTGACAGGAAGCTATTAACATCCTATTTACTCCACTCAGGGGTGAGGAGTTGTAGCTTTTGCCCCAGCAATATTACTGTGTTTCATTATGGGGCGTTGCCCCAGACTCCGCTGAGTGTTCTCACGTGTTCTACGTAACCTTTCTTCTATCTGGAAACTTCTGAATTCCAAAGCACCTCTGACTCCCAGGGTTTCAGATGCATCATTATTTCCATTTGGCAGATGAGCAAACGGAGGCTCACAGAGGATCACCGTGTAAATGAAATTGAAGGCAATGCAAGGCGCTCGGCTTGATGCCCTGTATACAGTAAGTGCTCAGTAAGTGTTAGAATTAGTACCATGCAGGGGGCACAGAGTAGAGGTGAGGGTGGGTATGGACAAGAGGTGATGCAAGGCAGTGCAGGGCATGGGCTCAGGCCCGGGGTCGGCCTCCAGGTCTGGGGTGAAGGGAAGGGTCTGACTCTGCCGCCTAAGCTCTGGGCTGGCTGGCGGGGTGGCACCCAGGTCAGGGGGTGACGACACAGCTTGGGGCCGAAACTCAAGTTATCTGCCGGCTCTGAGGCGGACTCTGGCATGACAGGGGGACTTTGGGCTGCTCCAGAGACATTATTCACATTTGACTTGGGCAGCCTGCCCATCGCCCCCTCCCCATGGCCCAGGCCTGGGCTCAGCCCACTACTACCCCCGCAGCTGGGCGGGAAGGTCTGAGCACCGCAGTCCCCAGGGGGGCTGCAGCTGCCTGCCCAGGGCAAGGCTCCAGGCATCTGGGCTGGAGTGAGCTCACCCTGTCGAAATCCAGAGACTGTGCGGGGGCGGGGGACAAGCAAGCCCCTGCCTGCCCACCTGCCAACACAGGCTCTGCCTCAGTGTCCCTTCCCCCCATCCAGGGCCCCCGGATTTTCAGGGAAGGACACACACCTGGAGAAGCTCCCCCTCCCCTCTGCCACGATCCAGGCTCCCAGATCACCCCACAAGTGCTCCCTGGCTCTGTGACAGCCCCGGCCCCAGATACAGGGTCAAGGTGCCCTGCCCCACCCCCGGACTGCCCAGTGCCCTGTCTATGGGCAGCAGACGGCAAAGGGGAAGGAATCTGTCAGGGCAGCACTTTGTTGTGCAAACTGCCAGGGGCGGGTGAGCCCGACACAAAGGCCAAAAGGCCTTTAATCCCCTGGCAGGCCAAGAGGGGCGCCGGGCCGGAAAGGAGGTGGCCACAGCCTCTTCTGGCATGCCTACCCTGCCCGTGCCACTCAGGAGGCCTGCCAGCTTCCCACACTCAGGCTCCCAAGGTGCAGGGCCTTCACCAGCCCGTTGCCCGGGAAGAACCACCAGCCCCTGAATAAGGAGAATGGCAGGAGGCACAGCAAGCCCTCCCTGGGCGCAGGTGCCAAGATAAGGTTTTCACAGGGCTTCTGTCGTGCAAACCCACAGCAGATACTGGCTCTTCCCCCACCGCCCACCGTGCCCAGCTTACAGATAAGAAAAGAAGCTCAGAGAGGTGAAGTCACCTACCCAAGGTCACACAGCTAAGGCAGCGGGAATCCAGTGTGAAAGCAGGGCCCCCTCTTCTGTACTCTGCTGGCTTGGGGGCACAGCACCTAGCAAGCCCCGGCTTCCGACCCCAAGGCCCGGGACCTGCAAAGCCTGCATTTCGGCCAGGGCCGCGGAAGGGCCCGGAGGGCCGGTCAGGGCCTTCAACAAAGAACAAGGGAATGGGAGTGCGGAGCTCTGGGGTCTCTCGTCCCAGCTCTGCCCCAAACTCACCATGTGGCCTTGGACAAGCCCCTCGACACCCTTCCCTTTTAGCGCACACTGCAGTGAGTACCCACTCAACGCACCAGGCTTCCACACCAGCTATCTGTGTTGATGTGAACGGAAGGAGCAGGAGGGCAGATGCTCATCTGTTTTTATCACTGCTGCATCTTCAAGACAGAAGACACATACCAGGTGCTCAATTAACATCTGCTGACACAGACAGAGCGAATGAATGAACCGGTGAACCTGCCCAACAGCCCCGAGGTGGGAATTTAGCCCTTCTGACAGAAGCAGAAAGTGAAGTTCAGAAAGAGAAAGTAAGGACTTGCTCGAGCTGCCTCAGTTCCCCATCACTAAAACGGAGGCCACATCACTTGGTCCCAAGGGAAAAGGGGGTCTGGATACCACGCTCGCCGAAACGGCCAATACTCCCTCCACACTCAGGCTCCTGGGGGTGAGACAGGTACCAGAATGCCCTGCCTGGTTTGCCTCCCGCCCAGGGCTGCTGGGAGAGGCAAGTGGAATGATGGGGGACCTGCTCTCCGAAGTGTGGCCAGAGAACTCTGCCTGGCCCTTTCCCAGGTGGACCTGACACGGTCTCTGCCTTCAAGGTCCCTCTGCACGGAGCTGGGGTTGTGCCTGAACGGGGCTGCCACCACCACGGCCCAAGCAAGAGCACCTTATGAGTCTTGGAGACGCAGCCAGTGGAGCAGAGGGCAGATGCTGCTCGGACAACCCAGATTCCAGGCCGCCTTGGCCACTTATCCTAGCTGGGCAGCCTCAGCTTCCTCCCCCGTAAAAAAAAAAAGGATAATCAATCCAACTTGCCCTATAAGGTTCAATTCAAGTCGCTTTGACCTTTATTTCTCGGGCACCTACTATGTGCTGGGGCCTGGGGATAAAACTGGGAAGTAAAGAGACACAGAGCTCTGTGTTCCTAAGGCAGACACACCATTACACCGAGGGAGGACACAGTGCAGAGAGGGCGCTACAGAGGAAGGACAGGGGGCTGGGAGGGCCCAGGGGAGGGTCCCCTCACTGACCGAGGCAGGTGGGAGTTTGGGGGAGGTTTCTCAGGGGAAAGGACAATTCGGCTGGATCTGAAAGATGGTTTCACCTAAGTAGGGTGGAGAAGGGGCAGAGTGTGTGCACCAGGCAGAAGGAAGGTAACGGGCCTAGGCCCAGAGGTGGGAAAGTGCACGGCACGGTCAAAGGACCAGCCCCGAGCAGGCTTTTCCACAAAAAGAGCAGTGTCCCTTGACTACACTGGTGTCATGGTGCTAGTCACAGAGCCCAAGTCCCTCGGTCCCCCCAGAGTCCCTGCACTCTCCTCCTGCCCCAGAAACACCCCAAGAATGGGCCTCCCCTGGCATTGACTGAGCCGCCTGCCAACCTAGAGGGAAGCAGCAGGAAGTCACTGGGAAATGACCCCGCCCCACCTGAGCGCCAGGTGACGCCAAAGTGGTGGTGGTGGGGGGCGGGCAAGTGGGAATACCTTCCAGGCTGGGCCGCCCAGCAAGAAGGTCCCCAGGGCTTGAACATTATCTGCCAAGCACCCCCGGTGCCAACAATGCCCGCGGTGTTCACATGCCTGCCTCCTGCCTGCAGCCCGGTGTGGTTCTCAGATTCTCTGGCACCCAGGAGGCCCTGCTGCCTGGGAGTGCTGGGGTGTCTGTGGGCCTTCAAGGCCCCAGCAACCTATTGCGCCAGCCCATTCTCTCTGGGCATCCAGAGAGATGCCCACAGATTTCAAGAATGAAGCCCCTAGCACGGTGCCAGGCTTACGGGAGGATGGGGGGGGGAAGGGTCCACAAATTTTTGTTGAAATGAGACACCACGTACAACAAGGACCACCTCCTGAACCTACTGGGTTAGGCCTCTCCATTACTCTTGATTCACCAAAGGATGAGAAGAAACACATTTATCATGGGTAACCAGGTCCTGTGTGACCTGCCTACAGACACACACACACACACACACAAACACACACACACGCACCTACACACACCTCTCCAACCTCATCTCCTGCTGTGCTCTCCCCATTCTCTGCCACACTTACCTCAATATTTTTCAAACACACCTCTCTCTCCCACCTCAGGGCCTTTGCACTTGCTGCATCCTCTACCTGGGATACCACCCCCAGATGTGCCCACTCCTCCTCTTCTTCTTGTTTCTGCTCAAATGTCACCTTTACAGAGATGCAGACCACATCCCAGGTCCAGAATCTATTAGTCAGCTCTCTGTCACTTCCCTTGCCCTGCTTCACAGCATCTCACCACCTACATTCTACACGGGTTTACATGTTTATCTGTTTATCATCTGTCACCCCCACTGGAACATCAGCTCCACAAAGGCAGTGACTTTGTCCATATCCCCAGTACCTCCAATTACCTGGCACAGAGTAGCTGCTCGATAACACTTTTTAAGTTAATGAATGGACGGAGTTTATAAATGAAGAGACTGAGTCTCAGAAAGACAGCTTGCCCCGAGTCACAGAGCTAGAAGAGCCAAGACTGGGAGCCAGACCCCTCCCTGGTTCCCAACCAGGAACTCTGTACCATGCGAGCCTTCCTCCTGTCATCTCTGACGCCTCAGGCTTTCTAGCCAGGGGGCCCATTTCTGATGGGACAAGATGCTGCCCTTGGTCACTGAGCAGAGACCTGCTCCCTGCCCAGACCAGCATCCGAGGGAGTGGGTGGGGGTCTCAGAGGCGAGCAGGGCCACGGCTCCAGCTTGAGGGCCTTGCCCCAGGCAGCCAGGCCACCGGGCCTCGGTGACTCTACTCTGCTTGCTCCCGTGGGTATCAGCAACAGGAAAAAACAGGCTGGAACGGCCGCTCTTTGCGGCCAAGGAGGCCAGCTCCCCCTGGCCCCCAGGGCTTTCCTCATCTGCTTCCCGGAGGGGGAGGAAGGGGCCAGCAGGGCCGAGCCCATGACTGAAGACAGGCCTGTGGGGGGGGAGGGGGGGTGGCGGGAGGCAACAGAGCTGGAAATAAAAGGAAGGGCCCCTTCCTTTTGAAGTGCCCCTGTCCCCTTTCCTCATGACTAATGTCCATTCCAAGGCACAGTAACTTGGGACACGGCGGGGGGGGCCCTGCAGACAAACACATCTAGGAAAGGCTGGTTACACAAAGCTGAGCTGGTTCCCTAAGTCCTCAGTGTCCTGAGCACCATGGTGAGGGAAGGGGGCAACTATTTACTGTTTCCCAAACTTGCTTAACTTGGAACCCTCATGGGAGGGACTAGGGTTCCACAGAGCACGTATTGGGAGCACCCACACCAAACCGACCCCTTTCCCTCGGCTAGCTGCCAGCCAGCTCTCCTTCAGTGAGGCTCTGGATCTAAGATACAGCCCACCACCACCACCACCGTCAGAGGTTTTGAAAAGGGAGCTCTTGAAGACAGAAAACCCCAAGGCCCCATGCAATAAAGGACTAACCGAGGAAATGCAGGCCAGGCGACAGGAGGGGTATGTTCTCTCCTCAGGGAGAAACACAGTCAGAGTCTGAAAAAAGCCAGACAGAAGCTGTCCCTTTCCTCCCTGGCCATCAGCTTGCCCTCTCAGGAGAGGAGTCCTGTCGGAGGGGACACACAGAGGGTGGCCCCGTGCCTGGTCACTTCTGGCCCCCTAGGACCATGCAGAAGGTCAGAGGGTCCCTCCGCCCACGAGAGGCGGCGAGCTGAGTGTTCTATGGGGAAGTTCAGCTGCTGGTGCTCTTCCATGTGACAAAGTGGGCCAGGAGGGACTGCGAAAGGGCTTCTGGCTCACCCCTCTGTCTGGGGCGAGCCCCTTCCCCTCTCCAGGCCTCAAGTTCCCTCTGTCAAATGATGAAGTAGGCCAGGATCACTGCTTTCCAGCCTGGTCTCAGCAGCCTTGAGGGCCACTTTAGAAAGTGGGTGAGGGGGTGGGGGGACTGATAGAGAGCCCCTCTCCCAAGTACTTGCTTCAGTGAAAACAAATCCTCCCTTCTCCATTTTATATGATGACCTGTATAATACATCCGGTGCAGCCCCTGGTTAGCTGAGAGCAGGTCACTTTAACCCTCTGTGCCTCTCAGTTCCTCATCTGTAAAATGGGTATGATAGTTCATATTAATAGTATCTAACTCATGGGACTGTTGTAAGGATTAGGTAAAGATGTAAAATACTACAAATAGCTCTAGCACATGGTGAATGTCCTGTGTTTGCTGTTATTTATCAAAATATTGCAGGATTTAACCAAAATACTATTATTTTGATTGGCATAAGGGTTTCGCTGCTCAGTAAGTTTGAAAGCTCTCAACTTAAATGATCCCAAAGCTTCCTTCTGGCTTTGACATTTTAGGACACTGACATCCTGAAACCTTAGGTTTCTAGAATTCTAGGCTATGACTTCCACCAGCAAAGAAGGTGGGGCTTGTCACAGAGGGAATCACAAAGTGAGAATCAAGCCTTAAGGATGGGGCTCAGGGGACTGCCCAGCATGGGGTCACCATCATCACCATCTATTTATACTTCCCCAGCCACCCTCTTCCAGAAAAGCTCAAAGCAGCTTACAAAGATGCACCCAGAACGGCAGGAGAGAATGAACTAAACATACGTAGGAGAAGCTCACAAAAGCAGACCGACAGTCTGGAGTGCGGTGAGTAGATAGAGTACGTGCTGAATTCTGGAGGTTTGGGAAAGCAACCATTCATTTGGCTCTGAGCTTTCCAGTGGCCAATGGGAGGAAGGAAACCTGACCAGTCCCTGGACTCCGTGTCCCAGTGAGGTCAAAATAAACCCGTTGCTTAGAGGAAGCACAATTATTCCTGATACTGAGAGCAGGGAATGTCCCAAGGGCAAGGTTGGTCTGGCACTCTTCTTTGCCCTTGCCAGTGGGGCTGGCATCCCATAGGGGTCCACTGACCATGACCCCTTGAGCCTGAAGTCAGGGGCAGAGGCTACAGACAGCAAAGATCCAGGAGACTGGGATGGCCGTCCAGAGTGTGCCCCCAGCATCCTTGGCCCTGAGCAGGATTATCCATCCCTCCCCAAACCTGAACACAACCAGTGCCCAAAATAGCCCAGAGCACCAGAGGGTGCCAGGAGGCCCTGGGCAGGGGACATGGCTAGGCCTACCCACAGTGGAGGGCCCAGTGGGCCAATGCACACACAACCCTGGCGCACAAAGGAGCACCTTCACTCAGGCACACAGCCCTCCCTGGGAGTCCCCCACCCACGGAGCTCCCCCTCCAGCCAGCACGTTGCTCACGCAGAACCAGGCAGCGCTCCACCCTTCCCACAGGCAGGCTCTCTTGCAGGAGCCAAATAGAAAAGTCTTCCCAGAAACACCAGCCCTACCATATAGGGAAGCCGTCCTACTGCTCCAGGATCAGCCTCCCCTCAGCATCCTCCACGGTCCCCCAGCTGCAGGCCAAGACAATGGGGGCTATTCTGGGCTGCATGGGGTATTTAAAGCTCTGGCTGGGCCTCTTCCCTGGGGAACAAGAGGCCTTGACCTAGGCAAGACCTTCCTGAAATTGTTGCTGCCCAGACTGTGGTAGCTGCATCCCAACCTTCCTGCCAGGCCTTGAGGCCCTGAGGGCCGCAGCACGAGGGCCGCCTCCTCTAGGAAGCCCTCAGGGCCACTGCCCAAGACCCTCGGGAGAGCTGGATCCTGGGATCTGCTCCGCCACTGGTCTCAGCCCATTTTCTCATCTGAAAACGGGGATAATACAGCAGTGTATGTACAAGTGCTTGGCGGCTTCTGTGGTTAAGATGAAGCTGTGTCTCCCCAGCCACCACGTGGGATAGAATGTAAGCAGGGACAGGGATTTTGTTTATTTTGTCACTGCTCTTTTCC